CTGCTCAAAGACAAAAGTCCTACCAGGAGAATTATTACTCCTGTTTCAAGTTCTTTTAATATTTTAGTATCTGGAAACCACTCTTTACCTTTCTCTTGATCACTATCAGCAAGGGTTCTGTGAATACCTATTTGAGAACTTGTGTTATAATAGGTCATAGTGCACCTACCCTTATAACCATCCCTCTTTTCCATGTATGCGTACCATCCTTACTGTTTTCACCCCTTCATCCATCTCTGTGCACTTCCTTTCTTCCCCCCTTCTGTACCCTCCCCTCCTCTCCAAACCATTTACCCATCTTTCTTCACACAAAGGGCTTTGAACTTTTACCAAGCTGCTGATAATTCCCCAATGACTGAAGCTGTTAATCAAAAATGAACACAAAAGATTTTAGTGGGGCATTTCCCACAATAGAAGTCAGTCCTCCTGTTAACCTCACATAAGCAGCTGTAGAAGACAATGCTGGATTTTTTCCAGAATGCTGTTATTTCTTGTACCCTGTTTGATACTCCATCTTTCAATTCTTTAATTTAATAATGGGCGGCTAGAAAATAATTTATATTTTCTGCTTTGGAGAAAGAAAGTTTTTGGGGGGTTTTGTTTGGTGGTTTTGTTTGCTTGTTTGTTTGGTTGGGTTTTTTTTGTTCTTTTATTCACCCTGCTGTCTTTGGGCAGTAAAGATTGTCCATTGTGTAGTTCAGCCTGACTCGTCTTTTAGCTGATGAGTAAGAGCACTGGGAATAACTGTACTGTTCCTCTTCCTCCTCCTCCTCAGTTTTTTAAAATAATGTTCTAAGGAGAATTGCTTCAGTTTCTGACTAGTGGCTCAGTCTATTACGATAAAATGATCCTGCTTGTTGTCAGCTACCTGACCTTCAGATCCCTGCCAGCGCAGTCCAGAAGTGGAAGAAGCTCTGGCTGGTTTCAGACTGTTTAGTCACACAACCAGCAGTGTCAAGCCCACTAGGCAGATCTGCCTGCTGCTTTTGGACCACAATGCAGTATCAGAACACACTTGGTTCTTGTTTAGAAGAATTATTTTCTGTCAGTGTGATAACTGATAGCTGCAGGCAAGGCTTCCCGCTTTCTGAAGGAATGTTTATGGGTGGCAAAAGGGCCAATTCTCTGGTTTGACTTTATTCACTTTGTCCCTCTGCTGTGTTCTCTTCAGTGACTGAAATGCAAATGATTGAGCAGATCTGATTCAGGTAGTCACAAGCATCTGTATATAAAAATTAAACTAATAATTCAATCAGTTACAGAGAAGTCCTCTTCTGATTTGTAGGCAAGCTGAGCATTCAGGATTTCTCTCTTATGCAAAGCTGCAAGCCTTGTCTTCCTGCTAACTAGTCTTCCTGCTAACACAGGAAAGTGTTTTTCCCCGGTGTGGTAACTGATTTTTTTCAGGTAGTTGTCAACACACAGATGACAGATGCCATGGTGAGAAAAGAAATTTGTATTTCTTCTTTTCCCATGTAAGTGACGTGACTTTTCCAGTGGAACTGGGAATACACGTGTTTGTGGCATCTGTGGGATTATTTAACATCTCTGAAGTTGTGAGTTGATACCTGTAGGTGATGCAAAAACTACAATTTGTCAGGCTGCTACTATTTGTTGGTACGTTTGATTTCCAATGTACTTGGTATGATCTGAGCCTTCATCTCCTTGAGCTGTTAACCAGGGTTTGAATGAACACCGAAAATGTGTTCTGTGCAGTGACTTCTTCTGTTCTCTTTCTGATTGCCCCGATGGGTATCACATTATTTGTCCCAGTTATTTACCGTCTGTCCCTTTTTAAGGCTACGGTTGAATGGCAGGAATAAATAGAGCATATCTGATCCCATGTGATAGAGGTTGCAGTCAGTGCAAACCATTCTTCTGCCATTGTCCTTCTTTACAAAATACATTGAAACAGTCATGTTCTTCACGACAGTACTTTGGCATGCTTTAATTTCAGCATTATTAGTCACTGCCCATATATGATACGAGTGTTGGTGGATAGAGTGGGAGGAAGAAGAAAGATATTTAAAACAAATTACGGCTTCCTCCGCTGATGTGCATTGCTATGTCTGACCAAGAGGCCTATGACTTAACTATTCCTTCTGCGTTTTAGTATGTTGTTTGCCTTAAGGCACAGTTAGTTATTCAGTTTGAATTTCTAATATTATTTTTAAAAGTCTTAGAAGTGCAAAAGGAATTGGAGGCTTTTAGCAGTGTTAGTGGTGAGATACAGAGGCAAGAGATACTAGTGTAATTAGCAGTTCAATGTATTCATTAGCTCACAGAATCTTAAATAATACTCTCATACTGTTTTCCATAACTGAGAGAAGAAAATTATATTATAATGTAAAGGTTTTTACAAGTAATTATTTTCATTTTCTTATTGTGATAAATCATTAGGCTAAAATTGGGTGGAGGGGAGGAGTAAGGATGACGATGGACAGCATGGTGGGAAGGGTAGAAAAAACCCATCCTTACTAAGGTTCTCTACTAATTAATCTTTGTTGTGATAAAGAAAATTTAATCATGTACATAATAACAGGATTTTCAACTTAAGGAGTTTAAATCGGAGAATTTATGCTTTTCAGTTAGGGTATGAACAGTTCTTTAAATAACAGGGTTTAAAGGGTTAGATGAACAGAGCTAAATTCGTGGGGTATATGAACTGCAGCCCACACTACATGTCCAGTGTAAAGCAAATCCACACAATGGGCAATTATTTACTCCAGCACTTTCAGCCTGTCTAACAGTCTGCATTTCAATTTGTCATTATACCCTGAATGTGTTCACTTCATACTGCGGTATTTGAAATCTGCCCTGTGGGTTTCATTAAACTTTCTGTAGTGGTGTTATGCATCCTACTTGTTGGTTTCATTGTTGTTTGGTGAAGATGATCTTCCGTATCCGTATGTCTTGCCATTGTTTCCACAACCAGTTCAGTGCAGCTTCCTCAGCACAAACTGCTCTCCCTTCTCCCGTTGTCCAGGACAGGGTGACTTCTGATGTTTGCTTAGCTTTATTGTTTCTTTCCCATTATTGTCAAACTCTGATGGTAATACTTGGCACTTTTACTGACGTTATAGAGTAGGATGTGATGTCGTAGAGAAGGGGACAGGGCTACCCAAATTTTCTCAATTGCAGGGAGGAGCTGCCCAGGTGTGCTGAGGGGCCTGTACTCAGGAAGAGAAACAGGGAATCCTCCACAGTGAGTAACCCCGCTTTCAAGTGCACACAGTTTCCTTCATAGCCGTGTCCAGTACAGTGTAGTATCCTTTCCAGTTTGCCCTTTGGAATGTTCCCAGTTTGGTTCTCTTTTCTCTTTATTTTGGATTCTCATTTTACCTTGTACTTTGTCTTCTTTCTGAAGGTTAAAGTTTCCTTTTTTGTCTCTTCACACTATTAATCTTTTCTCATCCTAGTCTTAATCTTTATACGCATTGTCATTTTTCCAATGTGTCATTGTTGTTCTGTCACTAATACATCATATCATTTCTCTCCCCTTGTGTGCAATGGCCCTTTTCCCAGCTCTGTGCAGTTTCTTCAGTCCTTGCTCATTGCTATACGTTTACTCTTTCCAACCTTCTCTTCTTTCTCCTTTCAAATCACCTTTTGGTTTTCCTTTCCTGATGGGTCCCTTTTAAATCTTGCCTACTGATATACACAAGATAAGTCAGTTCAGCTCCCTGACCTTTCTAGTGCAACTTTCACCTATACCTTTTCCTTTGTGGAACTGAAAAATAAAGGATAAAAAGCTCATCTGTAACAAAGAATTGAAGGATTTGGTAAACTGCATTTTGGCTATGAAAGAGAACCGTCAGGAAATCAGAACAATAAAATGGCAGAAAAGGGCTGAGCTGGTCAAGCTGTAGTGAGTAGGCAGTCTTTGGCTTTAGGTGAGCTGCTGAATTATAGCCCTGGCCAGCACCCCTCACAGTTTGACTTGTGTGATATGATGTGGTGGTGTCTCTGGTTCCTAGTGTGCAGGCATCCACATAGTAGTAGCTGCTTTCTCAATTGCCATTATTTGGTAGTAACTACTACAGAGAAGCTCAGGATGATTTGAATTATACCAAACTGATTTCGTAGTTACAGAGGGTAGAAATACAAGTTCTGGCTGAGATATATTGGCAAGATGCTCTGGGAAGCTTGATTGCTGTGGCCTGTGCCACACCTTTTACTGCTGATTGAAGGGTTTTGTTTTCCAGGGCTATCAGTCTGGCATTTTACAGGAGCAAAAGAGTGGGTGTTTGTTTAACAGCATAAAACTGATGGGGACAAAAAGGAAGTGGAAAATCAGAAAAATTCTTACAAAATGGTTCTGTCTGTAAAGAGGACTGAGTTACTTTGGTCTCAATTGGAAAAGGCAAAGGAGTGGAAAACTGAGCTGAACTGGAAAAATATACTGCACTCTATCATGTAGCATCTTGTGTGCTGTGACTGTTCTGACTACTTCATTTTTCATTGTTTTTAGAATTAAAAGGCGTTTTAAAATTGAAACCCCATTGTGTCAGTTCTTACAGTAGCTTCTGGTCTACAAATGGAAGGTTTTAGCCAATTTTTTCTCTGAGGTCGTGGCAAAGCTAAGTGTAGAATAGTCAAATGACCTCAAAAAATTCTAAAGTAATAAAAATCAAAGAAGGTGCTAGTGGGTATTTTTTTCCCCCTTTGGGTCTTGTGTTTTATGTATTTCCCCTCATGCCTGAAAGAAAATCTGTTGCTGTGTCATAAAACCAGTTGCATATTCCAACTCTTTTATTTGTAACCTGGTAAGAGTTTTCCCAGGCAGAGGCAGCAGATGATGTACAAAAGCAGCAAGTAAATCTTTTTCTTGCTGAAATTTCCTGGGTTGTATCTGGCCTTCCAACAGACAGAGGACTCCAGTCTCAACACTGTCATTCCCTGCCTTTTACAAATGACTGCATAAAAACTGCATGATCACATAACCTTTCAGATTCACGGACAGCTGTGTCTTGTCACTTACATTTATTATTTCTTTTTAGGCGTTGGAAAAGTATCCCAACTCACCAATGACTGCAAAACAAATACTGGAAGTCATTCAGAAAGAAGGGTTAAAAGAAACAAGGTCAGTGTTTGTATGTTTTGTATTTCTGCTATCTCTGTAAAAATGATCTAGGAATGGTGTATAATCTTTGCAAAACTTCAAGTGCTAGCTTAATTAATTTCCAGTGTCAAAGTGGGAAATACAGCTAATGGGTTTTGATTGTTAGTTCAGGGCTTTTAAAAGGGTTAGTGACTGTCTTAACTTTGTATGTTACCAAAGGAGTCTGTGGGCCAGCTCCAGTCCAATGGCCTGTCTTTAGAAAGACAGTGTCATTTTCTCAGACAGCCTAGTGCTGCATCTCATTTTTGCTTAAGGACTGAAGCTCATCAGCTGGGTTACTTCTGCCACTGTGTGCATGGAGAGAGTGCAAGATGAAACTTGGTGCACTTCTCACTGGGGTTTATGGTTTGGCACTTAAATCACTGTTAGGACTTGCTGGTGTTGCGTGTGATAACAGAGATTGTGCTGATAAAGGTCTGGAAATGGAAGGAGAGGATGTTTGGACACTGGGAGCCAGTCTGTGTCTGCAGAGCGTGGATACAGTAATTGATACAGTAACTCAACTTGCTTGATAACAACATACTTTGGGTGTAGATTCAAGTGATAATAATTACCCTTTTAGAGGATAGATCTGTTTTCCAGAGAGTATGGGAATCAATCAGTTGTCTTCCATTGCTGCCTGGTTCAGATATACGTGCAGCTTTTTATTCTCAAAGGTGACTGTCTATTTGCTAGGTCCTCTAGTGACCTTCAAGTGGAAACTTCATCAGAAAGTGAAAATAAGGAAAAACTGGTTGGCTGGTGGGGGTGTCCTACAAGATGCAATTGCCTCTTCTTCAAATATTGTAGTGAAGGTTTCTGTTTTAATAAATTAATACTTGTTGTTGTCTCAAAGCATAGGGAGATGTGCTTCTATTTTAATTATGTTCTTCCAGTGTGGAACCTAAAGTTCAGAACAAGAGAACTTCAAAGTCCATGTAAAGGTGAACCAGAAGTAACCATGGAACATATTTTTACTGAATTCACTGTTGTTCCTAGGAAACAGAACAGAACACAATCTGTGTGACTGCACAGCATAACCATGCACTTCATTGTTGGCAGCCTCATAACAAGCTCATAATAGCTATATTTTGATAAAATTGCAAAAGAGATGGTATGGAAAGTGAAATTGAATTTGCCACCTTTTACAGATTTAAAGTGCTTTAGTTCCTGTCGAGAAATTGCTTTGAGTATATTTGGCAGGGAAGAAAGGGGATGAAAACTTTTGAAAATGAATGTCCAAACATGTGTTATACCGCAATGATTTGCATACAACAACAAAAATGCAAGAAAACACAGTTTTGAAAATCTGTTCTATTAAGATACTGTTTCTCACAGCAGTGAATGTTGCTTTCTTCTTATGTTTTGAGATATGAGAGGCATGGGAGAGGCTCTAATGCCTGCTAATAGGATTTCTTTGTAATTTAAAAAATTCTTGTTTTCATGGTCAGTGCATGAAAAAAATTTTGAGTGGAAAACATATGGAAGGGAATGGAAGCAATGTTTTATATTTTAAACATAGAAAAAGTCAAAGCCCTTTTTAATTGCTGCAGAATGAATAGTAAGAGAAAGATTCCTTTAAAGAGGTTCCAAACTAGATGATCTTTCATTTCTTCAGTTACTAAAAACCTGAAAATTACAGAGAAATAGCAAAGAAATTCAGATAAGTTCTGATTTTTATTCATGGTACGTGCAGGTGTATGTGACAGTATAGTAGATTGCAGGATGCTGTATGTGGTCGTGAGTTCTGGAAGACTGAGAAGGGTAAAATTCAATGTTCTTTATACTTGAAACATTTTCATCCTAAAATCCTTAACCTAAACATTATAAATTCTTCAACTGTAAAATGAGAAAATGTTGATTCTGTATTGATTTATACATATTTTAATTTTCATTTGACTTCTGATTTCATGTAAAAATTGTGTTTCTGCTGCATTTTAATATTGGTTAGGGACAAACTTTAAGAGTTGCCTGAGTGCCCAACTCATTATAGGAGCCAGTAAGGAGTTTGACTTCATATACAGATTTGTTGATTGGGCCTCAGCATCTCACTAATGTTTGGTTTTCACAGTACTTGAATTTAGAATCTCCTGTTCACTTTGTCCAGCTCTGCAATTTCTTTCAGTACCTTCCTGCCAGTTGGTGCCTTTGCTGCTACTAAAGATGGTATTTCCTGGTCTCTCTGCAGCCAGCTAAGATGAGAAAGGGATGTAAATTTATGATGTGCAGTCACCTGGCCATAAGCAGCAAAATGGCACTAGCATATTTTATTCTTTATCGATTTGTGTATTCTTCCAGGTCTGAATTTGAGCCAGGAATGTTACTGCTCTAATACACTTTACTTATTGCTTTATACTGATTATCATTGTCAGTAGAACCTTGGCAATTACTACATTAAGTTCTTAAGAAACTCTCCTCTCTACTCTTCCATTTATAGATGAATGAGGTTAATTGTCTTAGTCATTTTTCATATATATTCTAGCATTAATTAATATAAAGCTTTTTGCTGTGATAGTAAATCTGAAAGACTAATGTATGATTTTCAGCCATCTCATTGTCATTATGTGTAATATTTAAAAAAACATTGTAATACTATTCAGCCTCTTTTTCTTTTTTCTTACCAGAAAGGCATCAAGTTGCACATTTATTTTTGTATTACTCGTATAATTAAATACAAAAGGATTAAATTGCAAATTTACAAAGCAGATGTATGTTAGAAAATAAACGAGAAAGTTCTACTGATATACCTTGTGAGAGGTTATGCACCTACCTTGTTCTTTACATCTTGGGGAAGAAACAATTCATTTTTTGTTTCTTAAATATCTTTTTGTTGTGCTTGTTAGTTGTAAAATGGTCAGTAGGCAGGCAGTTCTTCAGCTACCTAGAAGGAGTAAAAACTTTTAAGGCAAACTTTTCAGTGATGTAGAAAATGTATGGTTTTCTTCTGTGGGAGGGAGAAGTATTTACTTAACATTCATGCCTGTGCTGGTGTACAGGGTCAGGCCCACAGACCTGGACACTAAAATCTCTTTACTAGGAAAACAGACAGCAGCACACTTAAGAGCACAATGCTCTGGATTTTCTGTCCAGAAAATATTTCCCCATCGTGCTGTAAATTTCTAGGCTCACCACCTGCTGTCTATATACCCTAGCATGAGCTTTTACTGATTTTCCTAGTATGACACAGACTACTAGTCAGAGTATGATCCACTCTCTCACCTCAGAACTCCTTTTCCCCTTGGTGCTGCCTCGCTAGTTGTTTTCCATCTTGCATTTCTTTTGTTACTTATTCTTGTTAAGATCTAAAATTTTCCCTACTGAATTGTATTTAGGTTTTCTGCAGACTGTTTCTCAAATTCAGTAAAATTGCTTTAACAATGTGCTCTTGTCATCCAGCGTGCATGCAGCTTTTCCAAGCTTTAGTGGCATCTGCTTATTAGAACTTGTTTTCTTTGGAAACATTGTATTTCTTTTTTTGCTTGTGGAAGTCCATGGGAAACTAAAAACTTACTAAGTTGAGCTACATGGTACCTACTGCTGCTTCTCTAGCTGTAGGATCTGGTGCTATGTCACAAAGAATATTTTGGTAGATTTGAAGTGATTTGTTCTTGAGGCCTATGTATTAGTCAACTTATTATTTGCTAAATACTTCCACATAATTTTTATGCCAAATGTGGTGGGAATTGAAATTCAGTTGCTGCATCTCTACTTCTTTGGACCTGTCTTTTAAATTTTTTTTAAAGCTAATCACTGAGTGTTTTCCATTCTTTTGGAATCACTGATATCCTCTACAAATTCTCAAAAAATTACTATTGATAATTCTGAGGCTGATCCAGTCAGCTTTAATTATCTATGGTGAATTTCAGCACATTTTACTGTTTTGAGAATACCTAATTTCGTTTAATTATCATCTAATCAATTTTCCCATATTTGTTCCTCGTGTTGGTTTTAGCAGCTGTCTAATCATATACACATTTCTGATTAGGTATTAGAACTCCTGTGCTTTGAGTGTAAGTACTCAGTGCCAACCCCTTCTTGAAAGAACAAGTCAGCTTCCTTTCTGCTGGTGTGCTTACAGAAATTTCTTTGTGTATGTTGTGTGGGTGAGTTTGCTGAAGTTTAATTTCCTGAAGCCCTTTTTCTTCTTTTTGTGTTCTCCTTTGTTTTCCTAAAAATGAAGAATCACCCTTTCATGAATGCTCAGTGTTTTAGCTGCTTTTTCCCCATGGGTTCAAGTCAACCTAGTACAGTCCCAGAAACTTGCCAGATGATTTTCTGACCCTGTTTTTCTTTTCTCTTGGTTTTGTCCTTTTTTGTCATTACCTGGAAATTGCCTGCAGAACCACCAGAAATAAGCTATCTGTCTGTTGCATTCTGTTTGGTGCACTACACCTTTGTGAGGAGTAGCACCACTTGAAGACCACTTAAAATTAAAAGGGAGATAAAAATAAGACAGAAGCTGGTATGAATTAGTTGTTTGGATTAAGGAAGAGAAGTTTGAATATAGGCATAGTAAATTTTCAGCTACACAAAAGAAAGAAAAAGAGTGAAGGAGTTATCCTGAATGTCTGCTATGAACAGAACAAGAAATAAGGCCTTTAATTTGGATTAAGAGAAAATGCCAATTAGAAAGTACAAAGGGTTTGTTGTTTTTTGTGGGTGTTTTTTTTTGGTTTTTTTTTTTTTTTTTTTTTTTTTTTAACAGGAATCATTAAGTCCTCTCATGAGCCTTGAAAGAGATGTGAAAGATTGGTAGGTCTCACCACAGCCCAGTGTAGCAATGTCTGTCAGGAATTACGTAGATTTGGTTGATCCTGCCTTGAACTAGGGAAATTAGCTAGTATATCCCTTGATCCCTGTTTTTCTATTAATTTTTCTAGAACAGTTTTCAGTACTTGGGCCATACACATTGTTTTAGTCCTAGGGGAGAATATCCAGCCAAACTCTGATAAATGTTTGATGCTAATAACCCTAGATTATGTCTTGGCTTTCTGTAGTTCCCTTTCTCCTGTGCATGGTGAGGCTGGGAAATTGACTTGTCTGGATAAGATTAAAGCCAAGGATTCTCAGTACAAGTTAAAAGCCAATAAACTTTCAAAATGGGACAAGCTGCTTAATTTCTTGGAGTACAGCTTTAGCCCACAGCTATGCTAGCTCTTTGCTTTCCTTCTCCATTAGACTCAGGCCTGTGAACGCTGGAATGGGATAATTTCATAGTGTTTTTGCTATTCAGCTGGAGTAATTGACTTCTGTATGGTCAACTAACTTGACCATGACATTATTCTGTTCAGGTAATTCATAGAAAAGTTTTTTAAAAGTTGCTTTTTCTCACTCTGTTTTCCATTTTCCGGTAGGAATCTCAAACTTCATTCTCTTGATGTTTCTTTGTTGATCTTAATTTCAGCTGCGGGAATCAGAGCATCAATTGTATCTCCTCATTTTCCTCTGTGTTTTCCTCTGCATATTTTGCCTTTTGCTTTGCAAGACTAAGCTATCTATTGATTTATTGTTGTGACAGTAGTCTTTCAGAAGACTAAGAGGAGATGCTTGCCACTGGCACTGGCAATAGTGCTGTTTCTTGTGCACTCCACAGTGTTGATAGTATTTATCATGAATGATATCATAACATATTAAGTCTTCTGAGCCTAGGAAAGCAGCACAAAGTATGACCCTAATAAATCTCAAAGACACTCTTAATAGATTTACAGTCTTTGTGCAAAAATATGAAACTAGT